ATTTATCAGCTTTATCATTTCTTCGTGTCTCTCTCTTTCTACTGAAGCCACCGGATGACAAAAAGCTCAACTCCAGTGCTCTTCACGGACCCCTCACTTTATCTTTTCTCTTTAAAATCTGTTTTAACTGTTCAAAATCACATTTTTGGATCGTTAAAAGCAGCTCAGGAAAAAAACTCTCTTGTCGACGCTCCAAAATTCACGGTTGAAACTCGTGCCTTCATGTAAAAAGTTGTTTTTCTCTGCAAAAAGAAGCTGAGAACTTGTTTACTGATTTTTTAATGTAAAGCTTTGTTTGAAGAATGGTAACGAGCTCAAACCACACGAGCATCCTCCTTTTTTTTAGAACCGAAAAACATGAAGGAGAGACAGCCCATGTCACGTCAAAGGGCCTCCCTCCCATTTTTCTTAAAGAGACACTGCTCGCTCCCTCACTATCTATCCTTCGGTTCAAACAGTCTTATACTGCCATCCAATGGTCAAAAGCTCGTTAGCCCGTCAACATTAAAAAAAGAATGCATAAATAAACCACAGCATCGTATGGACCACGGAGTTCAAAGTAGCAGCTCACAGAACTTAAAGAACGGTGGAACGTGGAGGAACCGCACGGGGAGTCCCATCGGCCTGACTGCACATTTTAACTCCACGAGAAGCTCGTTGGAGAAAATTGAAACGACGAACCTGCTGCAGCCTCGCTGACGTCGGAGAGTCGTCCACGACACGATCAGAGTCAGGCGCCATGTTTTAAATGAACACGGCTGAACGTGCACGGATCGTTCCGCTCCGTTAGTGGCTGTGCACATTTTGATATGTTCACCTCCACAAACACCCGTCATAGTTCTTCGTGCAGCTTCTTATATTATTTTTGGATCCATGATTAATTTTTCTCTTCCAGATGCAACAGTTTGTCTTTTCAGTAAAGGTTCTGTCCCCCTGAGCCGGGTCTGGGTTTAAAGTACAGATTTACAGGCCGTGCGCACCAAAACAGGTACTGTCAGACTAGCTGTGCAAAACGCAGCTCGGGTCAGAAACACTCGGAACTCGAGGGACGGAAGCAGAAGACGAGCGGGTTCTGTCCCAGTTTTGCGTCCGACAGTTGAAGCTCAGTGAGACGGTTCTGTTCGAGTAACCTGCGGTTCTTTCCAGATGTGGAGAGGTTCGTCTCTGTGAGCCGGAGCCACGCAAAGATCCGTAAACTTGGACTGAGGGCCCGGCCCCTGGAGGCAGCGAAGAGCATCCGGGTGGAGAGTCTTCCTCCGACGGCGGTCAAAGGTACGGGAACTGGTCCCACGTCTCGAGGTTCTCATCGGGTTGTCTTCACAGGACCCGCTGAAACAAAATCATTAAAATGATGAATGCTGATGTTCTGACCTCGTTTTTAACGAACACATCTCCTGTTCTGAGTTTCTGTTTCACGTTTCTTTAATACCTGTTCTTTAAAATATTCGAAGAGAGAAGCTCGTTCTGTTTTTTCCCAGAGGTAAAGTCCAGCAGGACGTGAACGTTGACACGTTGATCAGGTTGATCAAAGGAGGGCTCCAGAGTTTTAAATGTTCTGACTCGTCTTCTCCGTGAACCGTGTGGTCTTTGTGCACCTGCTGCAGACATGCTGGAGCTGTGGTTTGAGAAGAACTGGGTGCTTCCAGACAACGTGCAGATGATCCCCGAGGAGCAAGCTGCCATCGTCTCCTTCAGCGACACCGCAGGTTTTTATTCACACGTTCGGTTTATTTATGTTGAAATCAAAATGCTTCTGTACGTGACGTTCATAAGTTCAGGACCAGGTGGACTCCACTGAGTATGTCCTGGGGACACTGATCGGTTGGAAACAGAACCTGTGGTGGGTCAGAGGAAGACAGGAGGAAGAGTGGAGCTGTGAGAAGTGGAGGGGCCGAAGGTGGAGGAGTTCAGGTCAAACATACGAGAGGAGGAGGCAGCAACAGGGTGGAGTGGGAGGGGAGGTGTTTCAGAAGCTGCAGGAGAAAACGTGATGAGGGTTGCTGTGATGTTTGGAGATGGAGGAGGAGGAGGAGGAGGCAGAGAAGATGCTCAGATTTTCACTGGGAGGGACCAAAATGGACACGATCAGAAATGAGTCCATCAGAGGGACAACTGAGGTTGAGACGAAGCTAGAAAGGCTGAGATAGTTTGGGCATGTGCAGAGGACAGATGGGGACATGTTGGACAAATGATGTTGGACATGGAGCTGCCAGGGGAGGAGGAGTGCAGAGAAGGTTGCTGGATGGATGTTGGATGTTCAGGGTTGGTGAGACAGAGGAGGATTCTGGGAGATGGAGGCACGATGAGGAAGATGATGTTTGGTCTTTCAGATCATTGTAGAGGAACTGGAGGGGGTTGAGATCAGGGCCATGATGGATCTCACTGTGCTGAGACTGTTGGCGATGAGTTGGTGAACGTTGATCCCGAGGCAGTCTCAAAATATTCGCAGGGCTTTTCAGTTTCCTCACGCAAAAAGTTCATTCTTGTTGCAGGAATTTTGAACATGTTAATAAAACTTTGCAACAAATCTTCTGTCAAAACAGGTAGTCATCATCAGCATCCAGTCGAGCTCACATCAAACCTGGAGCTGCATGCTGACACTTGCAGGAGGTCTTCTCTGGCAGGAGGACTCCTCTGACAGGAGGTCTCCTCTGGCAGGAGGACTCCTCTGACAGGAGGTCTCCTCTGGCAGGAGGTCTCCT